CCAAATTAGGGTGCTGACCTCCTGCTCAGCTATGGGTAGGGGATAAGGACAAGGAGGTCAGGTCGACCTGGCAGTGTTTAGAGCAGAGACAAGTGTGTAAGCATGGGCAGTGAGGGGATGCTGCCCATGGCACTTTCCCAGCTGGCACTGTGTCACCCAGTGCTGGGGCAGAGGATGGAGCTGCCCCTCTGCATGTGCATAGAGGGGGGGTTCTCTGACTGCGTTCCTGTGGGCAGGAAATTACACCCAAGGATTCACATTCCTCAAGAAAGTGAAAATGCCTCAAACGTGAGAACAAAGTGGTCAAACTACAGTGAAAGGCTTTGCTATGGAAATGCAGAGCCGTGTTCCCTGGGCTGGTGACTCCTGGTTGGCTCCGGCAGCCAGTGCTCAACCTTTGTTCTCACTGGCATCTCCTTTTGGCGGATGTCAGCAACTGAAACCAAAGCCCCTCCACCGGCAGGTCAGGAACAAGCCCCTTTCAGGAAACAAGGAAATAAAGGACAATTTAACATCCAGGAATGGAAATGACTCAGGGGGGTTAAAATGCACAGAAGAGGAGGAGAACAAGAAGGGTCCTGGCCCCTTTCTGATGGCGGCAAGGCTTTGTTACAAGTATGCACATTGTTCCTCACATTTCCTATCTTCCCCTTACAATAGGGTTTGTCCATGCTGCCTGTTCAGCACACAGAGGCATCCAGCCTTACTGCCTCCATGCACAGCTCCATGGTGACAGCTTCCTGAAGGTTGGGCAAGTCTCAGGGTTGTCTCTGCCACCAGGAATTGGGTTTGGTGCTGCTGAGTGGCTGCTGGAGCTGGAGCCAGCAGTGGGGACAGCCAGGAGGGCAACGCTGCGGCACTTCAGAAGATACCAGTGCGCACACTGATGGTGTCACGTTCATGAATCCATGATATCCCATGTATGAGCAGCAGCCTGGGGGTTCCCCCCCTCAAATTCCTGAGAAGGAGCTTTGTGAATGCACCCATGGCATCACCTCCTTGTGTGTCTGATTTATGGAGAACTGCAGCAAAAATTTGCTGGAGAGTGGGGATGTCCCCTGGGTTACCAAGGTGCCAGTTCTGGGACATCTCAGCTAGGACAGGCAGTCCTGCCCTGCCCCAGGAGAACAGGAGAGTACCCAGGACAGGGAAGATCAGGTCTGGCATCTTGTGGGGTGTCTCCAGAACTGGAGTGCATGGCTGGAATGCTGGGTGGAGAGGAAGTGCCCAGGAACTGTTTTTGCTCCCTGCTCACAGGGATGCAGCATCCTCCCGCTGAGCACCTTGCTCCTTGAAGCAGTACAGGAAAGGCACTTGTGTGATTCGTTGATCTCCAGCTCTCCTTTCCACCTAGTTGCACTTGAAATTGGGAGCCTGGGAGAGAAATGGATATCTGGAGGGAGCTTTAGAGGGCAAATTGCTGTGGAATGGCTGGAGAATTCAGCAGTGGTGCACCTTCACCACCTTAACCATCATCCCAGGAGATGCGCTGCAACCTCTTGTCCATTACAGGCACCTCCAGCTGCCTCCAGCTCCCTAGTTATCCTGTCTCAGCACAGACCAGGCATCTTGCGAGCTGCTGAGGACGACAGCCGAGGTGATCTCATGCTGTGAATATTCTCTTGGCTCCTTCCTCACACTCCAACGCCTCACTGATAAGGCTCCGTGGTGAGGTCAGTGGGAGGGATTTGCATTGCGGAGCTGTGTGTCACCCGGGGAGCCTGGGGTACTGGCACCTGCGCTCCCCGCTACTCCCAAGGATCCAGCCCAAGCCAAGTCGCTGTCCCACCTCACAGCCTTGGCTGGGCTTTTCCCCCATACACTCCCACCTGAGCAAAGGGTCACCACTGCTGCCTGTGGGTCCAGCCTAGCGTGGGGATGCCAGCTGCTATTTCACTTCTTCTAGGAGGAAAATGAAAAGGTCCAGGCTTTTATTACCTTCAGCATTAGAAAGAAAAAGAGAAAACTCTTCAGATCACTTTCCAAAGGAGTGTTATCAGCCCAGGAGGGGTTTCCTGATGCCAAAAATAGAGCAGTATTAAGAAGGGAAGCAGGATGACGCAGGAACAGATAGGCCGGTGGATGAGCTGGGGGAGCTAGGCTGGCTCCCCTGGGAAAAATCAGGGCAGAGCCACAGCCAAGGGCTGTGCTGCTGCTGGGATTGGTATCTTGGGGTGGTGCCTCTGTCCATCTCTCCATCCATCCATCCATCCATCTGCATCCACCCACTGCTAGGCATGGGCTGGTGTTTCCAGACTCGGTGTGTGCTTGGGGAAACAGGGACAAGAGCTGTGCCCTCCTCTCTTCCCTGCAAAGGGGTAGATCCTCACTGGGGTTTTGAGGTCTCCCTCCTCTCCACAGGGCCAGTGCAGATTTCAGAGTGCAGACTCCGAAACTCCAGCCAGGTGGATTTGCCTTGTCACTGGTGAAACTGGGCTGAAAAACTTGTTTCTTTTTTGTTGTTTGATGAGCTCCCTCGCACTAAGAACAGGCTCAGGACCTGCCTGGGTGGGGATGCTGTTAGGCCTTGTTAAGCTCGAATCCAGACTGACCATGCCAGGGCCGTGTCCTTCATCTCTGGGTCTGTAACGTGGTGCACCTTTTCCTACAAGCTCTGATCCTTCTCCCCCGGTACCCCCCCCCCCCCCCCCATTCACCTCTGAGTGTGTTACCTGATACACATTGGGGATTTTTATTTTCTTTTTTTCCAATCTTTTGGAAGAAAACACGGAGAGAGCTGCACCTTGTCTGCTACCGCATCTCATGGCTTTTGGGGAGCTTGGGGTGGCCTGGGGGTGATCCCACAGTGGGATGAAGCTGTATTCAGCAGCAGAAGCAGCAAAGCAAGGAGGCTAGGGTAAAGATCACCCCCCCACACCTGCCTTCTGGGTCTGTGCTGATAAGAAGCTGTGAGTTTCCTCGGAAAAGAATGGGAGCTTAATGTCCCAGAGCTAATTAGCGATTTTCCCTGCACCTGCCTCTTGGCCACCACTGCCTCCCCTCCAGCAATCTGCTGCCTCGGGGCCTCGCAGGCAGCCACAGCTCTGGGCTCTGCACCAGCAGCCTTGGGCACTGGGGGCCGACATGGGGCTTGTGTTTCTCTGCTTCGGGGTTGGGGGTTCTCAGTGTCTCCCCAAAGATGAGCTCATTGGTGTTGAAAGGGGGAAAAAGGATTTGATCCCTGATGGCTTCCTCGTTGTCCCCCAGCACAGTGGATGGACAAGCCCTGCTGTGGTCCTGTGGCCATGCTGCAAATGGCATCTGCCGGAATAGGGAAACTGAGGCTGGCAGAGGGACAGGGGATGCCCAAAGGCACTGAATCCAGTACTAGACAGGCTGGGATGGCTGCACTTGCAGCAAGCTGACATCCCCCTCTGCGGTGGATGTGAGGAGGGGGGACATGAGGAGACAAGGCATGAGGGCAGAGCAGATGGGGCCAGCAGATTTTTGAGAGGCCAGGTTGGTCCTGCAGACAATGCTGTGTCTCTTTGAGCTGCGATTAAATGGAAAGATTTATGCTCCAGGACAGCTGGCAGGCAGAGCTGCTGAACCCCCCCATCCCAGCAGCTGCAAGCCTCCTGTGTGCATGTAGCACGCACCAGACCCCAGCCCACTTCTGCACTGTGTATGCTTGCAGCCCAGAAACCACCCACGTGCTGGGCTGCACCCCCAGCAGCATGAGCAGCAGGTAGAGGGAGGGGATTCTCCCCCCCTACTGTGCTCTACTGAGACCCCCCTGCAGTCCTGCATCCAGCTCTGGGGGCAAAAACACAAGAGGGATGTGGAGCTGTTGGAGAGAGTCCAGAGGAGACCACAGAGATACCGTGAGGGCTGGAGCAGCTCTGCCCTGAAGACAGGCTGAGAGAGCTGGGCTGGTTCAGCCTGTAAAAGAGACCTTAGAGCAGGTTCCAGTGCCTAAAGGGGCCACAAGAAACCTGGAGAGGGGCTTTGGACAAAGGCAGGTAGTGACAGAACAAGGGGAATGGCTTTAAGCCGACAAAGTGATTGAGATGAGACATTAGGAAGAAGCTCTTCCCTGTGAGGGTGCTGAGATGCTGGCACAGGGTGCCCGGAGAAGCTGTGGCTGCCCCATCTCTGGCAGTGTTCAAGGCCAGGTTGGACGGGGCTCGGAGCAACCTGGTCTAGTGGAAGGTGTCCCTGCCCGTGGCAGGGGGTTGGAACTGGATGAGCTTTAAGGTCCCTTCCAGCCCAAACCAGTCTGGGAGTCTATGATCTGCCCCAGGCCCCCTCCACGACTGCAAGCGCCCTTGGCACCCCCATGGGCTCTTGCACACCTCGGGCACGACCTCCGTATTCGCGTTCGTGCCAGTGTCCGTGCCCCCCCTGCCGGCAGCAGCCCCGGCGGAACGGGGAGGGGCGGTGCGGAGCGGGGCGGGTCCGGCCCTGCATTCCGGGCATAGCAGCGTTCGGGCCGGCCCCCGCTGCCGGCGGGACGCTCAGTCCCGTCGCCGCGCTCCCCGGGAAGCACCGCCGCCGCCCCTGCTCCGCCATGCCCCGGTAAGCGCCGTCCCGGAGGGGCTCCCAGTGTCGCTGGGGACCGAGACCTCCGTGAGGGGCCGACTCGGCTCTCCCTGGCCGCGGGGCGGGGGGTTTGCGGTCGGTGGGTCGTGCGAGCCGCCCGATGGCTACGTGCCCTCTCCCGCGGGGCCGCCTTATCCCCCATTCCCCCGGACCTGGAGGCAGCCCCGGTCCCTGCGAGAGGTACCGGGTCCGTGGGGAGCCACTACCGACCCCCAGCCCCTACCCCAGCCCCGACCCCTGGCGCCAGCCCTGGTCATGGGTGCGATGAGAGTGCCAGTGCTCAGCCACGGCAGTGGGTTGAGCTCCCTCCACCACCACAGCCTCCTGCCCGTCCGGCAAGTCCCAGCCAGGCTCCCAGTGTGCTGAGCGGGATTCCTGGAAAACAAAACCCTGTTGACCAGCAGTGCGTCCTGCCCAGGCCGGTTCTTCATCCATTATCCCCTCTTTTCTCCATGCAGGTGTCTCGGCGTGGCTGCTGGCTGCTAAAGGACCTCCGGGGACGCCCTTGTCGGGTTGGAAACGTGGCTTTGCCGACGGCGCTGGCGGAGATGAGGACGGCGGAGGACTCGAACGGGACGGTCCTGCACCGCCTGATCCAGGAGCAGCTGCGCTATGGGAACCTCACGGAGAACCGCACTCTGCTGGCCATCCAGCAGCAGGCCCTGCGCGGCGGTGGCGCCGGCAGCCCCCGCTCCTCCCTGGAGAGCCTCAGTGCCGAGGAGAGCCAAATGGTGCAGCAGTCCACGCGGCAGGAACCCCAGGGCCAGGAGCATCACTCCGACCACATCTACTTGGAGAACAGTGTCTATCGGCTCTGCCAGCCCCAGCACAAGGGCGAGGAGCTTCCAACCTATGAGGAGGCCAAGGCGCATTCCCAGTACTATGCCTCTCAGCGGGGTGGGCAGCAGCATGGAGGGGCCAGCACAGGGATTCGGGGTGAAAACAGCCCACGTGGGGCTGAGAGCAACAGCACCCGACGCCCCGATGAGGGGCTGAAGGACCTGAAGCATGGCCACGTGCGGTCACTGAGTGAGCGGCTGATGCGGCTGTCGCTGGAGAGGAGTGGGGCCAACACACAGAGCCCCATCAGTGCCTCCCACAGCTACCCCCAGCTCTCCCGTCACCACCAGCTGGCTGCCCTGCAAGGGCAGCACCCTGAGGGGCCGCAGCCAAGGGGACCCCCTCCAGAGTATCCCTACGTCATCCCTTCCCAGGACACTTACCTGTCTGAACCCCGACCCTGCTCTCAGGAAGGTCCTGGATTTCAGCATCCCGAAATCAGGTAACCTGCAACTCCCAGGCCCTGCTTTTGGAGTCCCCACTGGGTGCCTCTCAGCTGTGTGTCCCAGGAGCCGGGATGGATGCTTGGGAGATATGGAATGCAGAGAGCAGTGGGGGGCCTGGGGCAGCCATTGCCAAACCTCTTGTCCTTGTGGGATCAGATCTGGCTCAGCCTCTGGGGTCTGCGGGGACCATTCCCCTCCCCAGTTTCCCCCAGCACAGTTGGGTTTTTCTAACTGGTGATGGAAATCCCACTGCCTCTGCAGACCGAGCCCTCTCCCCATGCACTGGGAGGAATTTGGGGTTAATTTAGGAGCTGGAACCAGCTCAGGAAATGGCTAAATGTGGAACAGGCATAGGGCGGGGTGGAAGGCAAACGCGCTCCCTATTCCACGGAAACCTATCCTGTGGCCCTGAGACGGGGATGTCCGCATAACACTGGTTTGCTGCCGGTGCCATGGGATTGCTGCTGAGCTAAGCCTGGGCTAGTGCCGGGTGGTTTATGGAGGTTATAAAGCAGTGCTAGGCAGCTCCCCCCTTCACTTGGGCAGCTTGTCACCTCCAGCAAAGCCCCAGGTTGTCTGCAAGAGGGTCATTGAGAGGTCTGGGGGGTGGGAGGGGAGGGGCAGAAGTCCAGGAGGGCTGGAAACAACTTTACTTCAGTGTGAAAAACTATGGGAAGAAAGGAATTGGAGGCTTGATGGGAGGATGCACACTGCTGCCAGCCTATCCAGGCGGAGAGCAACAGCATCTCCAGCAGGAAAACCTTCTCCTTCCAGGGAACAAAGAGGGGAAGGGGAGCTGTGAGGAAGACGTATTTATTCTTCCTTGCTCCTATATCATCCCGCAGGAATGCAGGCCCTTGGCGGATAGCCTGAGCAGAGCGGGGCTGCGCCATGCTCAGCCGCCTTGCTTGGGGTATTCAAAGCAGCCATGGGATGTCGAGGAGCTCAGAGTGGTCGTGCAAGGGGCGGCCAGGCTGACCCTGCTCCTCCGAATATAGACAGAATGTGTTCATGGTTTGGTGCTGAGGAGCCATGCCAGGAGCCCTTGCTTTGCCCAGAAAACAAAGGAAAGGGGCAGTGCTGCTGGATTCCAAGGTGCATCTTTTGTTGAGTTCTTGTTCATCCACAGCATCTCCAGCAATAGGGTAGGCCTGGGGGGCTGGGAGCCCATCCTGACCCACCAGCCAGGAGCTGTCGGGTCAAGGCATCCCTGAAAGATAGGGTTTATTTCCTATGCTTGAGTTAGAAAGCAAATGCTTCCCACAACTGAAAAGCAGGATACAGAGCCTCCCTCCGCTTTTGGGGTGACCTGGAGTCACCGGCACCCGTTTAGGTTTGGAGCAGTCAATGGGACTCTAGGAATGTGGTCAGCTCTCCCACTCTTGCCAAACTCCACTGAGCATCCTTCTCCCCCTCTGCAGGGTGCTGTCCACCCATGTCCCCACTGCTTTCCTGCCGCTGCCAGGCACTCTGTGCCCAGGCACACTGGGTCCTGCTGGTGTGGAGGCACTAGTGAATGCCCAGGCGGTCTCAACCAGCAACCGCCTGGCCCGGGTGGACGCCGTTCTGCGGGACAACGAGAGGCTCCAGCGGGACAACGAGAAGCTGCGGCGGGAGCTGGAGAGCTGCTCTGAGAAGGCGAGCCGCATCCAGAAGGTGAGCAGCCACGGCATCATTCCCTTCCCCTCCCTGGCTCCCTGCCTTAGATGGGGGGATGCTCAACCAGCTGCTGTGAAAATTCACCCCCTTTAGTGTTTTAATCCCTTCTTCTCCTCCCTTCTGGTGGCTCATTTCTCCCTGAGCAGCTGTGTTTCAGCAGCACGGCAGGCGGGACTGGGGAGAAGGAGCCCATTCTCCAGTGACCCACTCCCTCTGTGTGTCCCCCCCATCCCTGGCCACCACAGAAAGCTCTTTGTGTGGCTGCGCACAAGGGGCGGCTGTTCCCTGCCGGCTGCGCTACAGCAGAGCCAAAACCTGTGGAAGGGACTCCTTTGCAAGGAGAAAAGGCAGAAAATACCAGTTTTCCCCCCAAAATATGCGCTGGGGGCCAGGCCAGGTGGGGGTCCCATGGGTGCGCTTGGGTTGGGCTGAGTGACCCAGGTGAGTTTTGGCCAGCATCTTCCTTTCTTTTCCTCATTCCATGCATATCTAACCCTGGCCTGTCCATTCCTCCACCCCAGCTGGAGAGCGAGATCCAGCGCATCTCAGAGGATTACGAAAACCTCGTCAAGGCCTCTTCCAAGCGGGAAGCTTTGGAGAAAGCCATGAGGAACAAGAGAGATGGTGAGATGCGGCGGCTCCAGGACTTTAACCGGGACCTGAAAGGTGAGGGACCCTCCATGTCCCCATCCCTGTGAGTGATCTCTGTCCCCCAGCTTTCCCCACCCAGGGTGTTTCCAGGCATCTCCCACTTCCTCTGTCCAAACTCTTGTATTTAAATCTTAATTGGGTTTACTTTCCTTTGGACTAGAGCGGTTGGAGTCGGCAAACAAGCAGCTGGCCAGCAAGACCCAAGAAAGCCATGACAGCAACCAGGGCAGCATGGCAAAGCTCCTGGCGCAAAGTAAGTCCCATGGGATGCCTGTCCTTGCCTGGCTTCCCGTGGCATCCGTGAGCAGGACAGAGGGGCTCCTTTTTGGCTGGAGGAGGAGACGGGTGTTGGGCAGCAGCTCTCGCCCTTCCCTGGGGAGGATGGAGCAGCTCTTGGCCTGGACTGAGCCATTAATCCCAGTCGGCCGGCTGGTGGCGTGACCCACATTCCCCGCATTCCTGCCGCTGTGATGGCTCTTCCAGCACCAAGCCAGCACTCCCATCCTGCAGCCTGGCCCTTCTCTCCCTCCTCCCTCCTCCATGCCACAGCTGTGCAAGCCTGAGCTTATTTTTGGGAAAATACACCTAAATCCATTATTTTAGCACAGAAACGTGGTGTTGGTGTTATGGGGCAGGAATTGCATTCCCTTCTTTACGATGGCTACATTCACGCCAGGCAGCTTTTTTCCTTCATGAGGCAAAATTTGATCTGCGGGTGTTGGGAGACGAGAAGCTCCCCATGACCCAGCTTCAGTGTTCGCTTGCAGTCCAGAAACCAACCATGTCCTGGGCTGCATCCCCGGAAGTGTGAGCAGTAGGTTGAGGGAGGGGATTCTCCCCTCTGCTCTGGTGAGACCCCTCCTGCAGTCCTGCGTCCAGCTCTGGGGCTTCTTCAGCCTGTAAAAGAGAAAGCTTTGGGAAGACCTTAGAGCAGCTCCCAGTGCCTGAAGGAGCTACAAGAAACCTGGAGAGGGGCTTTGAACAAGGGCCTGTAGGGACAGGGGGGAATGGTTTTAACCTGACAGAGGGGAGACTGAGATGAGACATTAGGAAGAAATTCTTCCCTGTGAGGGTGCTGAGGCCGTGGCACAGGGTGCCCAGAGAAGCTGTGGCTGCCCCATCCCTGGCAGTGTTCAAGGCCAGGTTGGACAGGGCTTGGAGCAACCTGGTGTAGTGGGTTGGAACTGGGTGAGCTTTAATCCCTTCTAACCCAAACCAGTCTCTGATTCTATGATTTCTATGAAATGGAGACTGTCTACCCCTGTGGCTTGGGTCCCTCTGACCCCCATATATGTTCTGTGCTGTGGGAGGGATGGCACAGCCAGGTTTTATGGAACAAAAAGCTCCAGCTTGGGGGCAGTGAATCCTCCTTGCCTGACACTTGGGTGTTCTCTTACAGGCTATGAGCACCAGCAGGAGAAGGAGAAGCTGGAGCGGGAGGTATCCCTGCTGCGCAGCGCCAACGAGGACCAGCGTCGGCGGGCAGAGCTGCTGGAGCAGGCGCTGGGCAGCGCCCAGGCGCGGGCAGCCAAGGCAGAGGCTGAGCTGCGGAAGAAGCGTGCCTACGTGGAGAAGGTGGAGCGGCTGCAGGCAGCCCTGGGACAGCTCCAGGCCGCCTGTGAGAAGCGGGAGCAACTGGAGCTGCGGCTCCGCACCCGCCTAGAGCAGGAGCTGAAGATGCTGCGGGCTCAGCAGGTAGGTGCCGGTGCTGCTGGCAACCTGCAGTGTGTGCCGCATCCCCCCAGCACCTCCCCATCCTCTGCTGGGTTTTCACTGTCCTTTCTCTGCTGCAGAGGCAGGCAGGCGCTGTGGGTGCAGGGACACCGGAGCTGAGTGCCCACACACTCTCAGAGCAGCTGAGGGAGAAGGAGGAGAAGATCCTGGCCCTGGAAGCTGACATGACCAAGTGGGAGCAGAAGTACCTGGAGGAATGCACCATGCGGCAGTTTGCCATGGATGCCGCGGCCACTGCAGCCGCCCAGCGGGACACCACCCTCATCAGCCAGTCCCCGCGGCATTCCCCCAACAGCAGCTTCAATGAGGACCTCCTCCTGGCCAGCCACAAGCACCAGGAGATGGAGAACAGGTAGTCCCACCTTCCTGGAGGCATTTTCTTCCAACAAGCTTGTGCTGTGGTCTGGTTGGGCAGCACCTGCATTCTCTTTTCCTTCCACCTCCTCACCCAAATTGTGCCTCTTTTCATCTCCAGGTTAAAAGCCCTTCATGCCCAAATCCTAGAGAAGGATGCTGTCATCAAGGTCCTGCAGCAGCGCTCGCGGAGGGACCCCAGCAAAGCTCTCCAGGGCTCCTTGCGACCAGCCAAGTCTGTGCCCTCCATCTTTGCTGCCTCAGCAGCCCCGAGCTGGCCAGGGGCTGGCCAGAGTGACCGGCTGACTGAGAACAGCTCTCACAGCAGCACAGGTAAATGGAGGCACATCCCTGCTCCCTGCCTTCACTCAGCAGCATGGAATTGCCTGCAATTTCCCCTGCACACCTGGAAGTAGAGAGCTCGGGGAGTGGGGGCTTTTTCATTGAGCTGTAGGAGCTCTCAATCCTTACTGGTGTCTCCTCCAGCAGGAAAAGCCACCAGCGAAGGAGCAGGAGCGCCCGCTGCCCTGCCGCTGCCGTCCCACTCGAAGCACAGCAGCAAGGATGGCAGCACTCAGACGGATGGAGTGGCTGAGAGCAGCGGCCAGGGTGAGGGCACCGAGCGCCCGGCTGGTCTGATGGGTGAGTGCCCCAGGGATGGTGTGGAGGAGAACCAAGGGTGCTCCAGCATGTGGGCTTAGCATCAGGAGATGGGCTCTGCGCGAACATCAGAAATTATTTTTTTAAAGCATTTTAAAGGACCCAGTTTAGTCTGGTGTGTTTGAATCCTTGCAGTCTCTTGTAGAATCCCAGACTGGTTTGGGTTGTAAGGTACCTTAAAGATCATCCAGTTCCAACCCCCTGCCACAGGCAGAGACACCTTCCACTAGACCAGGCTGCTCCAAGTCCCATCCAACCTGGCCTGGAACATTGCCAGGGATGGGGCAGCCACAGCTTCTCTGGGCACCCTGTGCCAGTGCCTCAGCACCCTCACAGGGAAGAACTTCTTCCTTATATCTCATCTCAATCTCCCCTCTGTCAGTTTAAAGCCATTTCCCCTTGTTCTGTCACTACCTGCCCTTGTCAAAAGCCCCTCTCCAGATTTTTTTGTAGCCCCTTTATGCACTGGAAACTGCTCTAAGATCTCCTTGGAGCCTTCTCTTCTCCAGGCTGAACCAGCCCTGCTCTCTCAGCCTGTTGCTATTTTATTTTCATGATGCAGTAGTTTTCCCTTGAACCCCTTGCGGGGAGGCTGGACCTGCAGTACGCTTGTTGCCAGCCCTTTGGTGGGGTGGGCACTGATGCTCTTCACCTCTCCTCCAGTTCTTATCTTCTTTCTTTGCAGAGAGCTTGGCTGATGTCAGAGCCCCTGACCTGTCTGACATGGTGGAGATCCTAATTTAAGGCCTCCCATGGAATGCACACTGGCCCCTCTCCCCCCGCCTGCACTGGATCAGGGTGGCAGAGCCTGCAGGAGGGAGGACCGAGCCTGGAGCTCAGTGGTGTCCCTGTGGCTGGTCTCAGCACATGGGCCATGGTCCCCACTCAGCACCCACAGGGGCCTCCAGCTGCGCAGGGCGTGCTGGAGCCCAAGGACCCTGCAGTGACTGAGGGGGCTCGTGACCCCACTGTGAACACACTGGGGTTTTGGACAACAGGAGCAACCTATTTATTGTTCCAGCCTGAAGCAGGGGGGCTTCTTCCCATATCCTCCCTCATCGGCTCTGGTCTTGGCAATTCACATCCACCCAAGTGCTTGGCCTCTGACTGGAAAATCCCTCTCTGTTCACCCAAACTGTTTCCACAAGCTCATGTCTTTGCTCAAGCCCAGAGCCAGGAGGGATCCTCTGGCATCCCATCAACTGCCCAGATCGTGGCCAAGCCAAACGCCAGGAGCCCCAACCTCCATCATCTGCAGCCATCACCTTGCGTCCTGCCTCTGGGTTGTTATCATAGGCCAGCGAGGGGTTTGGGATTGGGTGATGCTGGAGCAAAAGAGAAAATGATGGAGAGAATAAAAGGTGGAGGAGAAATCCCCTGGAAACTGGAGGTGGAATGCTCAGAGGGAGCCAAGGATGGCTGATGGCATCTCGCCTATTACAGCATCATCCCCTGGCTACTGGCAGCTGGCTTCTGCCTGTAGCCATCGCTGATGCTTCCTTCTCTCCTCTGAGCTCAGACACCTCCCATCTTGCCCTTCATCTATATATATATGTTCTTTCTCTCTGTCTTTCTCTTTCTTTCTTTCACTATGTGTGTGCATTTGCTGGACAACTGCATTTTTTATTCTTCTCTCCCAGACACGTACCAAACACATTCGGTTCTCATGCATTGTTTACAAAGTGGAAAACAAATGAACAAAAGTTATGAAAGAGGAAAAAAAACTCCCCACAAGTTAATATATTTTATATTAATATTGGTGTTTCTTTGTAAGTGTTGTGTTTTTGTGCTGTGAACTTTTGTTTTTCCTGCCAAAGACAATGAGTTCTTGTTTGTGCGTTTTAAGTTATCTTGAGTATTTAAATGTAAACCTGGCTGTTTCGATGTGCCGCCCTATACCGAGATTGCTGTAGCATTCCACTTGGTATAACAGTATTTTAATAAAAAAAACAAATATTGACCCATGGGTGCTCTTATTTTCCCCCCATGTAATGGGGCAAGACAGAGTGAGGGGAAAGGGACTAGGGTTGATGAGCTGGCTGAAACTTTGGTGCTCCTAAGCTTCCTCCATGCGCACTCCTTGATGGCCACATCTTCAGGCACAGCTGGACCTGGCCTCCAAGCTCTCCCCTGGCTTTTGTCAGCCACCTCCAAGTCCTTCCCATTCTGCTTAGCTCTTTGGTCTTGTTGGAAGACCAGAAGTTCTCCTAGAGTTTGGGCCTTACAACTTCCACATCATGCTGCTGCCCAGCCTTTCCCCTCTGAGCTTTTTGTTTGCTGCTGTCATTTTACTTTTGTTTTTAATAGCTGTTGCATTGATACTTCCCAGGGAGCAGCCCTGAGGACTCTGCTCCAGCTGCTTGGGTGTTGGCAGCCCAGCTGGAGCCATCACCAGCCAGGCTGGGGCTTTCCCTTTTGGACATCACTTGGCATTTACTAACAGGTCATTTCTTTTTTTTTAACCTGCTGTCCTGTGGCCCAGGAGATCTTGTGTAAGTCTCTGTAATGGGCTTTAGCTTGGATTAATGCAGAACAGCAGCGTAAGGAACCAGCTTTGCTGCCAACTCCTTCCTGGAAGGTGGCTAAGGACTGCTGAGGATCACCGGTCTTGGTGGGACCATGATGGTGAACACCAGCTTGGCTCTACAATTCCAGGAACCTGGAAGAGCTGTGCCTGAAAACTTGGGGTTTCCTCTGGCTGTGGGGCAGGTCTCCATCATTAGGGAGACTCAGAGCAATGGGAAGTGTGGAGCCCGGTTCCTCCTTCTACCCATGGTTTCCTCTGGATTTTCCTAGCGGGGAAACAAGCTCCTCCCAACTCCATGCACAACCTATGTCTGAAGTGGACCCTTCTGCACTCCCCAGTGATGGGGAAGACTGTGTGTGAAGCTCACAGGGAGCCGCTGCTCCTTGGGAGTGTGTTGAGGGGAGGTCCTGGTGGCCCCCATCCAGGGATCATACCTGCCCTGCCTCCCCCAGCTCCTGCTGCCCTGGAGCTGCAGGCAGCTGCCCAGGAAGGCTTGCAGCATTCCTGGCATACCTCAGCTCTCACGCCCCACATTATTTACCCAAATCCGGATGCTGAGCAGCCTTGCAGCGGGTCTGGCTGTTTGCAGGCAGTTTTCCATGTCCAGGGATCCAGGGAACAGGCTCCTGTTGAGGGTTTTGCACACCACTCTGCCATCCTCCATCCTGCACATCACTCTGTGGACCCCTACTCCCAAGGCTTTCATAGTCCCCAGGAGCCCAAAGATGAGGGAGCACAGCACTGTACAAGCAAAGCAGCAGAGAGGCGTAACAAGTATATGGGAAGGGGAAGTCCCATCTGTGAATATGATAATTGAGCCATGGGGGGGGGATGCCTGATCTCCTTCTGCTATGCCCCTATGGATACGACAGCAGCTGTTTTGGTAGGGCTGCTTTTCAGCCAGAGCAGCAGCCTGATGGAGCTCTGCACCTTGGTGCAAGGAAGGCTGGTGTGGGGTGTGTTATCACCTGCTTTATCACTCTGTCATCACAGGCATTTCCCTCCACCCTTTCCACACCATCTCACTGGGTTTCACCATCAGCATTGCTTTATCCCAGGTGGCTCCTGCTGACGCCAAGACATGCCTTTGTCACCACAGCACAGCTGAAATACCATATGGGAGCCAAACCTCCTGTTCCTGCTCCTGCTCCCATTCCTGTGTTTGTGATCTCTGTGTTGCTGATACTTGTGTCCCAGCACCCCTGTGTCCTTGATCTCTGCATTCAGAGAGCCCAGAGGAGGCCATAGAGGTGCTGTGAGGGCTGGAGCAGCTCTGCTCTGAGACAGGCTGAGAGAGCTGGGCTGGTTCAGCCTGGAGAACAGGAGGCTCCACGGAAACCTTAGAGCAGCTTCCTGTGCCTAAAGGGGCTGCAAGAAACCTGGAGAGGGGCTTTGGACAAAGGAATGTTGTGACAGGACAAGGGGGAATGGCTTTAACCTGACAGAGGGGAGATTTAGGTTAGATATAAGGCAGAAGCTCTTCCCTGTGAGGGTGCTGAGGCGCTGGCCCAGGATGCCCAGAGAAGCTGTGGCTGCCCCATCCCTGGCAGTGTTCAAGGCCAGGCTGGACGGGGCTTGGAGCACCCTGCTCTAGTGGAAGGCGCTCCTGCCCATGGCAGGGGGTTGGAACTGGATGATCTTTAAGGTCCCTTCAACCCAAACTAGTCTGTGATTTCTGTGATCCCCATATCCCTGCATCCCCATGTCCTCAGGTCTTGCATCCCTGTGTTCCTGTGTCCCTAAAAGGGGGTGGCTGGAGATGTCTGCCAAGCTGCTGTCTGGGCTGCTGCCTGGATGCAACACCTTGTGTGGGTTGCACATCCACAGCCCTACAGAGATGGAAAGGGGCCAGCAGGCTCTGCTCCGAGTGCCACGACCGTCACCCTGGTGCTTTGGTGAGACGCCCTGTCCTGGGGCAGCAGCTCTCTCGCGGGCGAAAGGCAGACACTTGTCTGCCCCAGGGGCTATTTGGGGAGGTATGATCCCTCCTGTGGTCACAAGGCTGAGGAACTTGTTGGGGCCCCGTGGCCATACACCAGGTCCTGTTCTCTGCCGGGAGCACCTCGGTGGCTCAGTGCCACACCACAGCAGCATCTCTGCAGCTTTGGTTCCTGCTTTTCCTCATTTCTCCTTGGAGCCTGGAGGTTGAAGCTTGGTCCTTGGAGCATCCTTGGCAGGTCTTTTGCTGGCCCTGATTCCTCCTCACCCCCTCATCGCGCACCTCCTCTCCTTTTCCAGTTGCCAAATGCTAGAGTTGGATGGTGAAAGACAAGCTCGACATCACATCCTTATGATGGAAATGGCTCTTTGGAAAGCCAAAAATCCCCCACCAGAATTTGGGAGAAAGGGAATTTCTCTCCTCTTCCAATTAATCCCTGTTGCTGTGGGGGCAGCTTGGCAGCGCTGCAGGCCAGCCCTGCAGCCAGCTTCCCAGCAAACCAGTTGGGCAAACCATGGTGCTTTCTCTTGCCTCAAGTCCTGGCTTGCTCGTCAGGCCGGCAGGAATGAAGCTCTCCCCGCCGGGCCTGCTGAACCTTTCTCTTCCCCATCCGTCCCCCATTCCCTGCCTCCCTCTCTCACACCACCACCTTCTCTGGGGGTCCCAAAGTCCTCTTTGTGCCCAGGCCTTGTTGGGGGCTCCCCCATGGCTTTATTCTGCTGAGGGACCAACGCTTCCCCCCCCCCCCCCCCCAAGTTGGATTTTGCATCCCGTTGCATTTACAAGGATACCCCTAAGATGCCCCCTCCATGCAGAGCATCAGTGTGTAGTGCTGGAGCAGAGACAGGGCCCGGGTGGTGTTTGTTGTTATTCAGGGGAGGTGCATGGCCTGATGGTGGCCGGGTCTCCCTCTGGGATGCTCCATCCCCCCAGCCATGGAGCATCCTCCAGCACCGGGAGCTCCTCTGTCCTCCCCAGCCCCAAATGCTTCCCAAAGCCCTTCCACCGGGGCCCACGGCCGGCGTTGTGGCAGGGACACCCAGGTCCTGCTTGTGCAGGCAGCCAGGAATGATGCCTGGCGCTTTGCTGGGATAAGCAGAAGTGGTTGGGCCGTGGCGAGAGCACGGTGAATTCCTCACTCCTCCTCCCTGCGCTGTGCTGCCTGCCTGCCATCTTTGCATGCAAACAGTAAACAGACTGTTATTATCCCGGATGCTTTGAATATCTGTGGCTATTTTTTCTCTTCCCAGTATTCTAAAAAGGCAAAAAATTCCCTGCGGTTTCTGAGTCAACTTTTTTTCCTTGGTCTCTTTTCTTTCCTTCCCACCACCTCTGTGACCTTGAAAACCCAGGCAGATGAGCTTGCTGGCCCTCTCTGCTTGCACCCATTCCCTGGCTGTTCTCCCTGTGCCCCACAGCTAGCAGCAGGTGAATTTGGGATTAAGCCTGGTGGCAGAGCAGCTGGGCACCTTTCCAATCACCTTCCCTGGCAGAGCCAGTGGGGGGTACTTGAAGAGGATGGGGATGCTCAAGGAGGATTGGGATGCTCTGGGGGGTGCAGCTCCTGCAAGCAGCTGGGGCAAGGGCACAAGATGC